CACGTGCAGCAATGAAGACCGAACGCAGCCAAAAATAAAACAAATAAATAAGCTGATGCAAACTTAAATTTATCCAGAAGAAATAACGAGAGAGAAGTGCAAAGGTGTTCAAAATCATAGCCTTATTTAGAATACTGAAACCAGTATTAGGGGATTGATTATAAAAATTATGTCCATATTAGGAAACAGTATACCATTTAAAGATAATGTTGAAGGAGATTTAAGACTTGGGGAAATGTTTACGGTATATTATTAAGTGAAAAAAGGCTTATTATTATATATGGCATAATTTTTTTGCCATTTAAAAATTTATTCACTTTTTTCCTAGGTAGCATATTTACTTGGTTCAAAAATGAAAAGGCACAAAAACATACACAAGGAAAAGTCTACTTCTTATTCCTGTCTGTTCCATCATCCTACAGCCCCAGCAAAACCATCACCAGCAACAGACAGGAAATCATGTTAATGGTTTCTTGTGTAGCATTCTAGATGATTTCTTATGCATCTCTAAGTAAATGCAAATAAACATCCTTTTGGACATACGATAGCTTCCTATATACATTGATTTACACTTTGATTTTTCATTTTAATACATAAAACTGATCTTTATTCTTTAAAAAAAAATAGCTGCACAGTATGCTATTATGTGAATGTAACATACGTTAGTTAGCCCTACCAATAGGCATCTAGGCTCTTTCTAATTTTTTGTGATTACAAATAGGGCTGCAATGTATAACCCTGCACATGTTATTTCACACATGGTGCAACGCTATTTATAGGATAAATTCCTATAAGTGGAACCGCTGAGTCAAATATTATGCACATTCTCAAAAGTCTTTGCAGACTGCCCTCAGAGGTTGTACCAAATGGAAATTTCACCAGCAAGGTATGAGGCAAGGCTCTGTTCTCCAACCTCACGCCATCCCCTAACAAAGGTGCTATCAGCAAATGTTTGGATTTTTGCCAATCTGATAGGGGTTTCAGTGTAGCATTAGTTTGCATTTCTTTGTTTATGGGCAAAGTTGAGCCTCTTTTCAAATGTTTATGAACTATTTGGGTCTCTTTTTCCATGAACTGCATGTATGAATATATCATTTTAATTAAAAATGCTCATCTGGGGAATTCCCTGGTGGTCCAATGGTTAGGACTCGGCTCTTCCACTGCTCTGGCCCGGGTTCAATCCCTGGTCGGGGAATTAAGATCCTGCAAACCACGTGGCACAGCCAAAAAAAATGCTCTATCTGTGTATTCATTTATTTATCATGTAAACGCTTCCTACACACCAACTCTCTGTTGGACATTATAGGCGCTACTGTAGGTAAAGGGGTGAACTTGGGAGACTCTAACCCCTGCTCTCCCAAAGTGTGCGAGCTGGTGGAAGAGAAGGCTTTTGAGCTAAACATTGAACTACTTATGGAATACTTACATACATGTACATATCTGTGCATCTGTATATGTAATTTATACACGGAAAAATACTTGGTTATACACTATGAGTTAACAGAGATGATCTTGAGAAGAAGTGATATTTTTCCTTTTCTATATTTTCTGAGCTTTTTGTAATGTACATACATTATGTTTGCAGTTAGTTGATTTCTCCTTTTGTTCATTTTCTGGATTTTCGAAGTTTTTTTTGTTTTTGCAAAGAACACGTATGATTTTTGCATTTAGGAAAAAGAACAAAGAGATATGAAAACATCATGGACAGGCACACAGGTTTACATGTATTTTAGACAGAAAAAAACACAGGAAAGAATGTTCTTTCTGTATGGTAATGAGGACACTGCAGAGAAAGATGTAGAAATCTATTTTCAGAGCTCCTAAGTGGCTGGCCAGTGTTCTAGGACTTCCCGTCCCAAGTTCCAGTGCAGACCTCCACTCACCAGAAGAACTGAGGACTTGGCTCTCCTCAGCTGGCCAACCTCATCTGCATCCAACAAAACAGGAACTGAGCAGTTACGAGTCTTGGAAATCTGGCCCCAGGGCCCATGGCTGGGAATTTCCCTTTTCGGATGCCAGCTTCAGGCTTGGTGTCCAAGGGCGACCCCTGTTGGTGGAATTGAAGTATGCCCATTATTTGCGAGCTGCTATTAGGATCGGCATCCCCGAGGTTTTATTTTTTTGCGGGGTCTGCTGGAAGCCTTAAAGCCAACAGCCACTCGCTCCTTACCCCAGCTGCTTCCCAACTTTCCATGCCCCTCCTTGCCCCAGGTTTGCCTGCTGTTTGCCTGGGAAAACCAAGCCTGGGGCTTGAAGGACGAAGCCACAGTTGTGGCCAGCTTTTAAACATCACGCAGGCAGGCTGCTATAGGGGCAGGGGGCTGGCTTTGCCGGCCAGAGGGTAGAGTGCGGTGACCCTTGCTCTAAGTGACAGACTTGGATCCTGAAAGCCGACTGAAAACACCAGACTTGGGCAGCTTATGGGAGCAGCGAGCAGGTAGGCCATTCTACTACAAGAATGTGGTTGAGGGGGGCAGCAGCTCTCCTGAGGAAGACAGGCTCTTTCCTCTCTAGAGATTCTGCCCCAAACCAGAAAACCCAATACAGCCTTTCTTGACCAGCTCCGGTGTCTGCATGTATAAGAGTAAGACCTCGGCATGAGGAAAGTATGGGTAGTAATTATGCCAGAGTCATGTTGCCAACATTCATCCAAAAAAAGAACTACCCACATACCCCGTCCATCACCGAGTGCTGAGTGGAAGTGCTGAATGGAGCTCTGCCTGAAGAATCTGTTTTTAGACAAGCAGAGCCTGTTTGTAATTCCTCAGCATCGCTCATTTTCCCCGGGGCACTGGTCTGTGATAAAGAAAGCTGGACACCAAGGAATGTGCTGGGCATTTCTGTGCTTTGAGAAAACATGACTAAGCACTTCTCAGAGCCCATCAGCAGACAAGAATCCTTCTTTACTATTTCATCTCTCAGACGCCTATGGTGCAGGCTTCTCTCCAGAGACCTCATTCCCTGCAGGCCCCAAATCTACTCTCTCCTGATGGGAGAGAGGAGAATCCCACCTATCCCTCTCATTGCTCTAAGCAAGGCTAATTCAAGGCTGACCCTTCTCCACCTGTACCAAAAGCTGAGCATCCTCCAAATGCTTGTGGGTCCTGGAATCTGGGGGGTCCTCTTAAGAAAGAAATCAGGACTTAGGGTATGGCGTGGGGCACTTGGGTGGGTTCCTTCTAAATTTGCTGGAAAGGAAAGGCTGGGGAGGGAAACCTACCATAGGACCCAGCTCATTACCTCCCAAGGAGTCAAGAAAGAGAATCCCGATAACGGACCTAGTGACGGTCAAGGTCAGCTTTCTGAGAAAGGCCTGGAGAGAGAATGCATCGCTTCCCTAGCTTAGCCAGGTAAGCAAGGCTTCTGTCCCAGTGCAGAAAACATGGACACAGACTCCAGCAGCTTCTGTCTGACTATGGCCCCAAAGCCCAGACATGGATTCACGAAGTGGTGTGTGCTGCCTAGAATGACGACTGTCCCTGCCGGGTTGGTTCTCACATGGCACTGGCTGCAAGGGAGAAAGGAATATATCTCCTAGGAGGGCTCCATTTAAACAGGTGAGGGACTGAGTTGTAAGCTCCAAAAAAATGGGAGGGAATACAACAAACAGAGAAGGAGAGTAGAGGGCCCCAAGTCACAGAGTGAGTTAGTGGCGGAGTTGAGAGGAGACTCCACGTGCCCCAGGGACCTGCTATGGGCTCGTTCCACTAGTACTGCTTCCCCGGGCAGGGGAATATCTAGAGCAGTCATGCCTTCTTGCTCTGACCCTTGAGGACCTCAGTCTGTCCAGTTAGAGAGGTACAGAGCCCTCTCCCATGTACGGGAAGGATTCTAACTTACTGAACACCTGCCGTGTGCTAGGTACCTGTACTATTGTGACCTCACTTAAATCCTACCAGTCAGTAAGGAAGCATCAGAGAACGCATTTTCCTGATGAGGAAACTGACACCCAGGGAGGTTAAGACCCACGTGGGCAGTCACATACCTGGCGTGTCTGACTCTGGTTTCAACCCAAGGCCCCACGCCTTTTCCTCTCAGAGGGAATGCTAGGTCCTAGACCAGGATCTCTTTCTACAGCCACTGTCTCCTTACCAAATGCAAGCTCGTGTACCCCACGCACAGTGAGGCCAAACCAACCGAAATGTGGGAATTTGGAGCACAGAAATGTTTATTGCAGGGCTATGTAAGGAGACAGGTGGCTTGTGCCCCCCAAACCCAGAACTCCCCAAAGGGTTTCAGCAAAGCATTTTTAAAGGCAAGGTGAGGGAGGGGCGTGGTTGGTTATTGCAAACTTCTTGGTGTAGGAATCCCTTGTTCCTGCAGCTGTCCACCTAGGTCAGGTCACGATGTTCCTGTAAACCTCCAACAAGACAACTGTTATTCTCTGTTCTGCAACTTTGTATCTCTTTATGCATGAAAAAGTGTCATACTCTTAAAGGTCAGAGGTTTATCACGGGCTGTCCTGTATATTTCAGGCTACAGGCAACAATGTTAACTCGAAGCAAAAGCAGTAGAATACACAGGTTAAAGTAAAAGAAACAGATCCAATATTGGGTCAGATTTGTTCTTCCCTATTACACCCCAAGTTAAAAGAAGATTCTCAGGCTTAATAACCCTGAACCTTATCTCCCCGCGATTCTGCTCCAGACGCGGGAGTTTCTCCTGCATAGCCTCTCCTACCCCTGGACGCGAGTGGGGTTTTAACCCTGCGCACCGGCCACCCTAAGCCCTCTGAGTCCGGAGAACAGGCTCTGGGCGGCCCACTGCGGCTGCTCCATCCGAGTCCTGGGCTCCAGCGCCCTCACCCGGCTGCTGCCGCTGGACTTCGCGCGCCCGGGTTCCGCAGGCTCGGGTCTGCGTCTCCCAGAGCGGCCGCCAGAGCCCGCCCGGGTCCGGCCGGGGCGCGGGGCCCCCGCCCCACTTGGGCAGGCGGGGAGCTTCAGCGGGGGGCGGGTCGGTGGCGCGCGGGCGTCAGGGGCCCCGGGGAGGAGTCAGCCCGGCGCGGCCAGCTGAAGCGGCAGCTCGCTATAAAAGCCGCCGCTCTGGCCGGCGGCTGGGGAGCGCGGGCGAGCGCAGCGCGTTGCAACCCGGCTGAGCCTGGCGAGCGCAAGCGGCGCGGCTGGCGTCGGCGGCGGGGCGCTCGGGGCCGGAGGAGCTGAGCGCGGTCAGGGGCTGAGCCCCGCTTTCCCAGACGAACTACCACTCCGCTTGCTCACGTCCCGGGAGATCGCAGGGCCCGTCAGTGTGCCCCCGACCGCTCCGGCCGCTGCGCTTCTGGCCCGCGAGGCGTGCCACTGTCTTGGCTACCGACCGGGAGGTAAGAGGGCCGGGCTCGGCGCGCCAGGGCTGCGCGTACTGCCCAGCCTCAGAGGGGAGGGCAGACTGGGGGTTCAGCGCCTCCACCAGTGATAGGGAAAACGTTACCCGTCATTGGCTTCTGTTTGTCCACTCAGTGCTGTGCGGTCCGCCTCTGTCTGTCTGTCCACGTGTCTGTTGAGGGGCATACGTCCTTGTCTCTGTCCGCTGTGGGATTTCTCTGAGGTCGTGTGAGCCTTTGGAAGCAGCAGGTGCCAGGGGCTCCAGTGTCCCCGGAGCGCATCCAGCCGGGAGCAGATACCCGTTTTCCTTAGAGTTCCCCCGTTCTGAATGTCTCGGGGGGGCTTGCGCCCCAAACAGTGTCTTGCCGAGGAGGGACCGCTCCGAGGGTCAGGTCGCGGAGTCCAGCCCACAAGGAGCCGGCTCACACTGTGCATGAGTGGGCATGCATCTGGCAACAGGTCTGCGCCCTGCTGCTCGGCCTTCAGCACGGTCTTCCTTCTGGTGTTTCCCTCCGCCTCCCGCTGCCTACACGCTCGTGCACTCCCCGACGGCGCTAGGCACCCAGCATCGCTCTGGCACGCGACGGGTGGAGGCAATTGAACGTTAGATGACACGAGGGCCCCTACTGCTGTTTAGGCTGAGAGCCCCAACCTGCCATCGCTGCAAGAGGGTTCGGCGGTCCCTGGCAAGGGTCGTCGGCTCCAAGAAAGGTCATATTAGGTTGGGAAGAAAGTCAGGGACCTGGTGGAGCGCAGGCCAGGGCCGTGGCCAGGTCTCCAGCTCGCCGCTCTGGGAACCAGGGCCAGAGACATTCTGGAATGGACCCGGCCGGACGCATGTGCTCTTGAGAAAGGAGCTCAGTGCGCCGAGGTCCTCCGCCGCAGACTCGCTGTCCGCATTCTCAGAGACGGCCGCCGTTCCCCAAGGGTCCAACACTACTGCCGTCCCCGGCGCGCCGCCAGGAGCCGGATTTGAGGTCCTGAGTCCTGCTTCATGCAGCCAACGCTGCCCACAGGTGAGAACTCCCTTTTTAAACTAACCTTTTGATGTGTGAGCCAGTGCCTGGCTGCAGCCTGGGAGCGAGTCTCTGTCTCCATTCCGGCGGTCTGGAGCGTTTTCCCGGGCGCGCCCGGGGGCGGGAGCCGGCGGCTCTGCGTGCCCAGGCGCGGAGCCACCATGGACAGCTCCCAGCCGCTTCCTCCACTCCCAGCCTGTGGCCCTGGGTCTCCCGGGGAAGTCGCGCGGCTTTCCTCCCAGACTCAGAGTAGGGGCACAGGGCAGGAGGAGAGGGACCACTAGTCTGCGGGAGCCCTCGGTGTCCGGTCCCAAGGCGACGTGAGCCACTCAAAAGGAAGATAAAGGGGGCCTGCGTGGTTTGTGATCGGCTGCTAGATCAGCCTGCAGCTGAGCTCTGTACAGGACCTCCGGCATGGTGCCGCTGGTGGGCTTCTCTGGCTTTTCAGCAGCCCCCCGGGGCCCTCCGAGGTGTTACGATTGTGCGACGCCTGAGCGTTCGACTGAGGCAGTGACATAACGCCAGACCTAATTAGGGACCTCCCTCAAACTGTTTTCTGCGCATGATATAGGGTCATGTTCCGTTTCATTAAATTATTTAGTAAATATGGTACTGGGAGGCGATATTAGTTTCACAGTTACAGTGACAGAATGGAGAAGAATCAGACAGAACACGTGCACAGAGAATGAGTTTGGAGGCACGTGCAAAAAGCAGCTCTTCTGTTTTCCAATCCTAATCATTTCCTCCCAGGTCCATAACACTTTTAAAGAAGCTTCCATTGGTTCCTCTTTAGCCCAGTAGAGGGTTTTTCGAGTTGGTTGCTTGGAAACAGGGTGGAGAGAACCTGTAGGGGTTAATCTGAGTAAATTAAACATCTCCCTTCTCTGATAAGAAATGACGTTGGCTGAGGCTCTTCTTTTTGTCATTTTCACCTACACAGAAGATGTATCTTCCTTCATTTTAAAATTGCAAGAAATTCAGAAGATCTGCTTCTGTTTGTGACTGGCGAAGGCCCATGGAGAGTAAAGACAATTAAGCATCTCTATTTATTTATTTTTGGAGCAGCATGTGTGACTTTTCAAAAGTCACTTAAGTTCTGTGTCTGTTTCCCCATCTGTAAACTGGGGACAACACAATCTACCTTGCAGAGTTGCTGATGGGAATTAAGTAGCACAGCGTAAAGCACGTATACCAGTGCCGAGCACAGAGAAATCTCTTAAAATGGTAGCGATTATAGGGATATTTTAAAGACGGTTGTGCACTGCTTTTGACTTACGTTCACCAGCCCTCTATTCTCTTTCCTAACCTAGTAATTGTTTGATAGGGACTCCAGCTCCGCTTTATATTCATGTTCGAGAACTTGTTGATGGAATTGGTGAAAGTGCTGAAGTTGATCACGATGCAAACAAACAAAACAAAACCAAAACTTGTTCACCAAAGAAAAATGGAAGAATTTTTGCATGAAACACATAAGTTGCCTGTTTTTCCCACCTGGACCACCTGGAGGAAAGATAAAGTAAGTAATTCTCAAAATCTTATCACAGCCCTCTGGTTGAGATGATCGATTCTTCCTGATTCTTCTCTCAAAAGAATGCAGGATCTTCCGAGGGGCCTTTTTTGTCCTCTTGAAGGTGAAGTTCCCTCGGGTACTGATGGAGATTGGCGTCCACAGCCCCATTTCTGGATTCCTGCAGGGTGAAGTGAGGGGTTGCTGCACTAGGGCAGCACCTGGGCTAGGAAACCCCTGAGTGGTCGTTACCAGGCAGGAAGCGTATTCCCCTGTGCTTGAGCCTTGCTTGGCTGTGAGACCCTAACCAAGACACGCACTCACTCTGCCTGGTGCATTGCCACTTACTTGTTCTCAGATAGATTTGAAAATTTCCTCCAGCTCCACCTTCGGGGGTCTGTCTGGTAGAAATCCCTAATATGTGACACGCCACAGAAGTTTGGATAATGGAGTTGTAGTCGGTCCAATCTTACAGTTACATTTTTTTTTTCCCCCCACAAAATGTACGTGTGCATGTCTGTGTGTGTGTGTATTTCTGCCAGTTTCACGTTCTGGGGCTCTTAGATTTTCTATATTTTTTTTCTTTAGTCGATCAGAAGTAATCTTAGCTCCCTCCATCTGAAAGGAGTGGAACTGAAGGATGCAGTCCACAGATGCTGGGAATCTTTCTGTGACTTTTGTCTACCCGGTAATGTGAACGGAACAGGAGGACATGGGCCCTGGCTGACCTTTAAGTCCCGGTTCTCTTCTCTGGACTCCCATGCAGTTCCGGTTTCCAGCACACAAGACTTTCTGGTAGGAAAACTATTGAACTACAGAACAGTTTTGGAGTATAGGGGCCAAAGAGGGGAGGGACTGGTGTGAGAGGCAGAAAGGGGCCCTTCACAGATCCTGTGGCATTCTGCCTGTTGCAGCAGTGTCTGTGTGTCTGGGACGGACGGATCAAATGGCAAGAGTGGCATTCAGTGGGGAAGGCCGGCGGGATGACAGGGGTGAATTCAGTTACTCTCAGCCTCCTTTGAAGCCCGCCGCTTAAGTGACCCCCTTTTAGTACCTTCTGTGGTATTGACAGAGGAGCACAATTTGATAGGATAAAAACTTTTTGCACTTGTAGTTATAAATCAAACATTTTGCACTTGTAGTTATAAATCAAAAGAGAAATACAAGCGTGTGTGTTGGGTTCCTAAAAGGAACAAAGTTGTGTTTATGGGTTGCATTCACAAGAGCCTATATCCATGATCAATCTAGGCTACATCTCTCATTCCACACGACGGCAGATACCCAGATGGATCATCTCATCCGAGTAATGCATCAGTTGTCTCCTTTTGCTTGGCTTTTATCTTTACATGGAGGCAACTCAGTTTCCTCTGAACAGGGAACAGGGAAGGATCGCATTCTTACTCTTGTATCTGGTTAGGTTAGTAGGAGGTTAGGATGGTAATGGGTCGGAGGGAGACTTCTCAGTACTGAGTTCCCTTTTATTGTTTCGCCAGCTGATAGCTGGGCCCTGAGCCTCCTTTCCCAAAGGCCTGGCATGTGGATATTTCGTTAAATTGGATAGGACTCTGGTGCCTATCATAGTGACTCTCGTTATCTGCACTTCCAGGGGCCGTCCTAGTCTCTCTGGTAGGTTCCCTATCCTTCTTTTTCCTCTGTCTGCTTTGATGCGAGGCTTCGTTCAAACCTGGCTCTTCAGAAGAGAGGCTGCACGCAGAGAAATGTCATCAAATATACATTTGCTTTCTGCTTAGTTCCCTCGGTGCCGGGAAGCACACTTCCCCACCCGGAGGGAGAGGAACTGCTGCTCTCCCCTGCCCCTGTTATTTTCCAGGGCCCCTCTCTAGGCTCAGCTTGGTTCCAGGCATCCGAATCCATCCTTCACTTCCCACCCCCTGCAGGTGTGGGAGCCTTCGGTAGGGGAGGGTGAGTGGGGCGCACAGGCAGCTGGCCTCCCCCACTGGCGCTTACTCAGAACAGGTTTCCTCTCTCTAGCTCCGGACAGCCTGGCTCCTTGCGTGGGGATATTGCTGAGGCATTATCTTTGAATCTTCTGCAAGGACAGCCACATGAGAGATCGAACTCGGGTTTAAAGTGCTTTGACCAGACAACTGCTTTTGAAAACCCTGTGTGTTTCTTTCCCTCAGCTGTCCATAAAAGAGCTTAGCCACGAGGCATTTTGTGTTACAGGGAAGGCACGTCTAGAAACTGGTCCTTCCGGCATGTAAGTATCTGTGCCAGACTTTTGCCTCTCCTGTTTCTAGGCATCACTGGAGGAGGGGGCAGGAGGGCTGCAGACTTCCCCAGGAAGCTGGGGACCTTTTCTGGGGTCAGGAGTTCATGCTGTTGGCCTGAGACTTTCTGGCTATAAGGCATGGACCCAGCCCATGGGACTGAGCAAAGTACAGTGGGCAGGACTTTTCAGACTTTCACAGGCAAACAAATCACAGGGGCGCTTGTTAAAATGCAAGTTCTGATCAGGTCGATCTGGGGTGGAGCCTGAGCATCTGCATTTCTCACAGGCTCCCAGGTGATGCTGCTGGTCTGTGGAGCTCCCTTTGGGTCGCCAGGGCTCACATCACTGCTGACCTTCTGTGATGCCAACTCAACTCTTTTTGGTATAATTTAAGGCCATTTCTGATGTCCGAGTAGATGGGGCCCAGCTGGCCTGTGTCCTCCTAATGACCTTCTAACGACCCTTCAAATTCTCGGAGATAATTATTGTCACTCCTAAGCTGTCTTATCAGTAGACTAAGTATCTGGAACCCCTTTGAGTTTCCCCTCTTCCTGGTCATAATAAATTCTCCAAAGCTCCCTGGACCGAGTTACTTTTAAGTGCAAGACCATTGTGCAAATGGTAATTTATCTTTGCCTGGCAGAGGCATTTGAATGTAATTTTGGTGGTATTAAGAGATCACTTGGGGAATTTCATCTCACTCTGGTTCCAGACACTGAGAATGCCTGTTTACATTTAAACAACTTCACTTGACTCTGAAGATCACAACTTTTGTTTTTTGGAACCTGAAAATGAAATTCAAGGCTCAATTGTCTTCCTCAGCTGCCCTCCCTGTAGGCTTCCTGTGGGGATGAGCTGGTAATCAGAGATGCCCCCTGCAGCCCAAGATGCAAGGGTGCAGTCGTACTCAGTCACCCACTGCCGCATCTGGAAGCCGGGAAGAAACTGAGTACAAGGTTTTGAGCATCTTCTACGGGGCAGGCCCTGCGTTAGCCACTGGGGAGACAGAGCTGAATAAATGGTCTCTGTCCTCCAGAGCTAACAGTCCCACGGCGGGGAGCAGACATCCATGTCAGCAGTTGCCATGCAGTGTGACCGAGGCGAGGACAGATGGGTCAGGAGGTGTGGTGGGCAGGGGGCCTGCCGGGGGAAGGCAAAGCCAGGGGACACCCCAGGAAGCTTCCCTGAGAAGGGGCATGAGAAGAGGTGCGTCTAGAAGGATTAGCAGTTTACAGGGATTTTTCTGGTGAAACCAATGTGGGGAGTGGAGCTCAGAAGGCATTCTACACAGAGAGGGGGCCATGGGGAAAGATCCAGAAGCATAGACAGGCTTAAACCTTTCACTTCTTGCAACCCCTCAGTTGCACAAAGCCCTGTACCTGAACTGCCCAGACCTTGGGCCACACCTGACCAAAGAGAGAGAGAGTCCTTCCGGGCAGCTGTAGGTCTCTGGGGCCTTTTGTTTCTTGGGCCAGTGGTTTAAAATTAATTTAACCATATTTTTTCCATAAAATCTTACTAAATCCTAATGTACAAACCAGAGGAAATGTGACTGCGGCTGGGAGTAGGGGTTTGGTTTTTGTCTTGAGGTCCCCAAGGGATTCCACGGAGCTCTATGGGTTCCAAGGAACACAGTTTGGAAACCTCTGTCCTGGAGCATCTCCTTTTGCTCTTGGCAGTCACATTAAGACTGTTATCTTAGTCTTATCATGGTTTGTCTTGCTATATCTTCTTCACATTCTAGACATCTTGCTGGTTGTTGCGACAACAACTTTCAATGAAAAGAAACCAGAATTATCCCGTGTGACACTCTTAACGAACGTGGGGTATATGGGGTATGGGTGGGGAAGGAAACGTGGCAGGTGCTGTTTCAAAAAAAACTCCAGCCGTAGAGGACCACTGGAGGAGGACAATGGAGCTGTGAGCTTCTTGCAGAAATGGGCTTTTTATTTTCAACTTTGTTACTCAATCTTTTCTAATCTTACGAGGCATTTCAGATTCTCTAAAATCTGGCAAGAAAAAAAAAGCATATTTCTAGGGTATAAGACTCAACAAATTCTACCCAGGATCTTGCATCCCTTTTCATTGATGTAGCCAAGAGTGAGTTTTGAAAAGGGACTGTAAGCCAGAAATATAAGAATGGAAAAGTTCCACTGGCCCAGGGTGAGGCAGAAGGTTTCAGTTCGAGCTGGAGCTCCCGTGGGCATCTTACAAAGCTCTCTTAAAGGAGAAAATTGATACTCTAAATGGGACAACGCCCAAAGAGAGCCCCACCCCTCACTGATGGGTGCTGCCCGCCTTCAGAAAGGGATCTGAAGAGCTCCCTCTGTTCACAGAGCCAGCTCCAAAAACATCATTATATGACTGATTTAAGGTGATGAAAGTAAGGTATGTTCAGTCTGGAGAGCTCCACTGGGTATGTGAGGAACCCTGATGGAGGGAAGGGGCAAACGAGGGTTCCCTCCAGGACGGGCATCTGTAGTTGTCTGGGGCTTGTTTTGCTGCCAGACCAACAACGCATGGAACTGGGCAGTGTCCGGGAGGGCCGGAGAGCTGGTGGTCAGCAGCCTCTGTATCCAGGTGGCCTCATGTCCAGAGGTCTTGGTATCAGCCCCCATTGCCTTAGAAACTGGAACACCCGGAACTATGGCCTTGACTCCCAAACTGCGGGGATTCAGCTTCCCCTTGCTTCCTAGGGCGGGACTTAGGCTGGGACGGGTGACCAGAGACACTGGTTCCCTAGGTCCCACAGGACTGTCTGATGGGTGGCCAGTGATGAGCCTGAGCTGTCCACTTGGAGGCAGAGGCTGCTGCCCAGCTCTCACCATGCTGCATGCCCTCCTTCCCTCCACTCCCCTGAGGAGGCAGTGGTGCCTGCATGTGGGCAATGAGCACACTGATGCCCAGGTACAGAGCTGGTACCGGATGACATCTTGGGGGTCTGTCTAGCTCTTAGTCCAATGCATCACTCACCCGGGTGCCTTCTTTCCAGGGCTCTTGTCCGTGCTGAGTGGTGCGGGCCGTTATTCCCAGCTTGGTCTCCTTGAGTGCCCCAGATTGCTGGGTCTCCAGAGCCTCCCAGGGGACAGCGGGCATGCCAAACTGTTCTCCTTCCTGTAAAGAACAACGACAGTGAACCTCAAAAGGATTGAGCCGGGGAGCAGATTTAGGCAAACTGTTAAATTTTTTCGTTTTAAAAACAAACTGGTGGTTTATGACGAGCCTGTTTCAAAGCTGACTGTGTTACAGCCCCTGAGTAATTCACTCGTATGCTAATTTTCCAAAGGTTTGGGTTCAGGAAAACCTCAAACATAGTGGCTAAGTACTTTTCCTTTCCTTTAAAAATTGTGTTTATTTTGGGAGGAATTTAATCCATATGTTTCAGATCTATTTCCATGTTACTCAGCAAAAGGTTGTTATTTGCCCAACATTGCTAAGCCATGAGTGTGCTTGGGTTCTTTCTCTCTCCTTCCCACAGCCGTCCCCAGGCTCTACCCAATGGGTGCTCACAGCTGAGCCCCGGGCCTGTGGCTGGTCGATTCTGTAGCCTTTTATGAGACAC